TAGGGTCTTCTATCATTGTAAGAACCTGGGAACCCATTTCCTTTACAGAGTTGGAGCCTCACTAATTCTAATCAGTTTTCTTATTCCGTTAATGGCTGGGTCCAGATACCTGCAGTTTCTGTAATCTACTCTACATACGATTAGGCAATGTGTGCTTCTGTACTTTTTTATTTTTAACTCGAAGATTTATTTCTGACTTGGCTACCTCATTTCTGGAAACAAAGGAGCCCGGTGCCAACACCTGTTACTGCTCGGGCGTGGGTAAACATTAACTTTTACAACTGGGCTGTAAAGCCAATGGCTGTATCGGGAACAGGTTTTCTTTCTAAAATGTTGGTCCTGTTCATTTCATTTGTCTTGCACAGAGTAATATGTTTTACATTACACTTATTGGTAGTATCATTAAACCCAAGACCGCCACAGGCCAGACCAGGCACTTCCACCCGTGAAGAGAAGTTACTGCAACACCTCAGTACTCCTCCCACACCGAAGAGTCCTGGTACGCCCCATCCCCACTGCAAGGGCAGGAGCCCTGAGCTGGAGCACAGCCGGACCAGCCCTGGGAGAGGATCCCCAGAGATGGGGGAGGGCCACCGGGCCGACAACACACCGCAGCTCCTCAGCAAAGCAAAGCTGGTAAACAGTCCTGCACTGCCGAGGTCCTGATGTTGCCCCGCAGGAGGGGGGATTTCACATACTGAGAAGAGCCAAGGAGTAGCCCAGCAGTGGGGGGGGTTCACATACCTGAGAAGAGCCCAGCAGTAGTCCAGAAGGGTTCACATGCCTGAGAACAGCCCCGCAGTGGGGGAGAGGTTACATTCCTGAGAACAGCCCTTCAGTAGCCCAGCAGTGGGGGGGTTCACATACCTGAGAACAGCCCTGCAGTGGCACGCCGCTAAGACTCTGAGCCCATTGGCACAAAGTGCTTGGACACAGGAGCACCTAACCGGAGCTAGTTGTGTGCCACTTAGTCTCATATAATGTGCTATGAGCACCACCAATGAATATTCACCACTCCAAACATTACATTATCTTTTTCATCATCATCGATTTATTACTAATCTATTAATAATACTAATCATTTTTACGATATGTATTGCAGTTCCTTTTAAAAAAAAGAGAGAACATTTTGAATGGGGAATACATCTTTGAGATAGATAAGTATTAATATAAATCAAACAGTAAGAGTCTTTGTCTAAAACCTTTTCAATTTTGGATTTAAAAACACCAACCAAGGCCCTGCCACAGTCCAATAGGGACACGGAAGAGTGAAGCAACAGAGGTAAAGACTGGACGCACAGTACAAGGACTCCAGAGTCATGTGATCCCCAGATCCTTGTGGAGGTTTTTTCCTGATTCCTGATTATACGGTTCTCACACTGCTGGTATGCCGAGTATATGGGTGTTATATACCAGAAGTTCAGGAGGAGGTCAAATTCTGAATACTCTCTGGCTGTACGTGGCTCTGCACACCTCTTTTCTGGCCCAATTTCCCTCTGGCCTTTACCACTCATGCCCTCCTAATAATCCCCATCTCTGAACTGGCTTCATCTCTCTGCTCTCCTCCCCGCTGAGAGCTGATGTGTGGGGAGCAGACTGGTGCACTATGGCTGCCATCGCATCATGCAGGTGGCCCTGCACACTGCTGGGAGTGGTGGAGAGGAGTCCCCATTGACATTAAATTGAGAACAGGAAGCACTTCTTTGCATAAAGGGTGGTGGGAGACTGGAACAAGCTAGTCAGCCGTGCTGAATCCGACACCCTGGCATCTTTCAAGAAACAGCTGGATGAGATCCTGGGATTAATTAACTACTAGCTACAGTACCAAAGGGTTTGATGTGATGAAGGTTCCTACCCTACTTTGTAAATTCTTCTTACTATTGTTAAAAGGAAAAATGTTACCTTTACAAAAAATACCTCAGAAGATGATCTGTCCCACCTGGAATGTTAGCATAGTATAGTTATGGGACTGGTAATCCACTTGAGGAAATAATTCACAGTCTGTGCTTCCTCCTGGACCCTGTTATAAATACAGCCTGCAAAGGAGCACAGAGCATCACACGCTGCAGAGGCAGACAGAGGAGAAGACTGTCACAACTCAGCCTGAGCAGAGCGAGCCAGGAAACAGAAGAACGCAGCCCAGATCAAAAGACAGATCTTTCAAAGAGCAACATCCCCGCACTCTCCTCCAGCGACAGCCAAGTAAGTGTCCCTACCTTTGTCTTCGCATCACTGCTCGGATTTGTTGTGACAGACGTGTCGTTTCTCTCTCCCTGTGAGCCAGGCTTGTTCAACCAAGTCCTGAAAACTCATTCTGGTACCTTTGTGGCACTAAATAAAATACTACACTCCATAAGCATTTTTTAATTCAAATGTGATATCGCAGCAGTTTGTTAAAATTGTAGAATTCTAAAGGGTTTACATTATTAATGAATTAAATTTCTACTTTTTTTTACATTATGAATAACTATGGTACCTCAAAAAACGTACAGTTGTGATACACTACAATAGAGTATTGTATCACCTAGTTTCACTGATATTCACACTATGCTGCAGACTCAATGGCACCAGACGTTCGGTGCACGATGAATTTCTGAGTAATGTCATCTCACAGTTTAAGTCTAGCGCTCACAGGGGGGCTATTTTTTTTTCTTGACCTAACTTTTCAAGCGCATTATTATTATTATTCATGCTGTCTGGGTTTGTTATTAAAAGAAATCAAAACCAGAAATCAGAATGTCTTTTTTCGTAACCAGAACCGACACACGCAAGGCATTTTACATAACAATATCCAAATCATTTCTCCACAGGACTCTCTGTTGTCTGGTACTGTATAATCCAAGCTTTAAATTTTCCTCATTCTGCTACAGCGCTGGGCTGTGTGAATCGAAAAGAATTGCTTACGTTCCTGAATTTGTTTCATCAGCCAGCTGTGAACAACAATAAACTAGAAAGCTGCTGTAATCAAAGGACTTTTATATTTTAAACTCTTCGGCAATTAGCCCCTCTTCGCTTCCCGCGGACTTGAGCGGCTGAAAAACGCGTTCATTAATTTAACACAACGGGGACGTTTAATGCCCGTTTATCCTTATGAGAAAACACCCTAAGAAACAAGTCTTTTGGGGATACACATTTACGAGCTGGTCAAATAATTCGGTGTTTTAGAGTTTTGCTACAGTACGTGCACTTTGTAAGTACAGGAGTTACAAAACTCCATTAGAAGTGCGCCTTCAAATTTGAACAAAACCGGTTGCAGAATTAGCGAAAATGTTTGACGTCTTCGACGTTACAGATTTGAAACTTTTATAAATGATAATAATAATCTTATAACACGTTATTCGAATTCAGAAAAAAAAATCTGGGCACTTAAAAAGCAGTGCGATACGTTTACTTAAGTCAATCTTGACGTGTTGACAACTAACGGTCTTGAATAAGACTGCGACGACAAACACTGGAACTGCCGCGCAGCCAAAAAGCGGAAATTCGGCGGTTTTGAAACCCTTGCTTCACTTTGTGCGGAGGTTTCAAGACAGAGGAAATAACTGCCCACTTACGAACGAAAGGAGCAATTTAGCCCCTCCTGCCCGGCTGGTAGTTGGTAGCAAATTGATCCCAAGATCCTGCGGTTTCTTGAAGCAAGCCAGGGCATCGGTTTCAACAAACACGGCTGGGTACGTTGTTCCACACCCCCACCACCCTCTGTGTAAAGAAGAGCCTCCCGCTCTCCTGTCAGTTGCCCTTCCCGAGGTCCGTGCTCCGCCGTTCGCCCTGAAGAAAGCTGCGGGGGTCGATGTTGCCGGCGCCGGTATCGCTCGGGGAGGGACCCGGAACTGCTCACAACACCGGGTTCGCCCCCTAAACCCCAGTCTTCAATTCAAGGAGGAGCGCGACTCGTCGGCTCCCGGACTGGTTGTTCCACATCCGTCCACACGAACTCTCTTATTAATGACACTCGAGCACTCACGACCCCCGCCCACCCCGACACCTGGGCGAAACACGGAGCTGCACAAGCTGTCTCCCTGTGCACCTGGCCGTGTCCTCCGGCCCCCCCCCTGTAGCTGTAACGGACGTTGTCTCTATGCCTGTGCAGGATGGCCCAGGGGTTCGCCGCCGTGTTCTACAGCGAGCCCGCCGTGCTCGGCCTCCTCGCCAACGTCTTCAGCGCTTTCTACGTGGCGCTGCAGAACTTCGCCCACGTCGCCACCCACCGGGAAGCCGAAGGCGTGGAGAACACCCTGGCAGGTGAGCGCCGCGGGGGTTGGGGGGGGGGGTTGGCGGAGGTGGGCGAACGCGAGGGAGCGAGGTCCGGGAGAGGCGCTTTAAACCCGCGCCAGAAGGCGTGCGCGAAACCTAAATCCGGTTGGTTTCGTTTGGGGTTTGAGCACTGCTGCCGCGGCATGGCTTCAGTTGCAGGCTTGGGGCGCCGTCTGTGTGTTTGGGTGCCTTACTGGCGTGCTGGCTGGCACGTTAATAGGCTTTGGGGAAAACGGGCCCTGGGGTGAGCGTGTGTCTGTGTGTCCGCCCTGTGATGGACTGGCGTCCTGTCCGGGGTGTACCCTGCCTGTTGCCTGCTGGGATAGGCTCCGGCTCCCCGACGACCCCGAACTGGGTGAAACAGAAAATGTCGTTTCTAGACGCTGGCACGGTTTTCTCACTGGCGGATTTCCTGGTGCGTGTCCATGTCTCACGGGGGGCTCTTGTGTGTGTGTGTGTGTGTTTTTTCTCCAGGGGTGCACCTCATCCTCATCGGGGGCGTGGTGCAGCTGGTGGCGGGCCTGCTCACCTTCCGGAAGTACGACCACCTGGCCGGGACCACGTTCCTGGCCTTCGCGGCGCTGTGGAGCAGCTACGGCGCCACGCGCATCGTGCTGGGGGGCGCAGGGCCCCGCCAACCTGACGGAGCCGGGGAACGGCACCGCGGCGAGCGCGCCGCCCGTGCATGAGTCGGCCGTGGCGGGGCTGGTGGCCTACATCAGCGTGGCCTTCATCGTGTCCTTCTGCTCGGCCACCGCCAACTACGTCATGCCCGTGGTGTTCGGCGCCATCACCGTCACGCTGGCCTTCGAGGCCGTGGGGCTGGTCGCCGAGTGGGCGCTGGCCGTGTCGGGCGCGGCGCAGCTGGTGATCGTGGCCTGCGGCTTCTACGGGGCGGCCGCCCTGCTCCTCAAGGGGCTGTACCAGCGGCACGTGCTGCCCGGCTTCGGCAACGCGCTGTTCGACGTGCTGCTCCTGGGCGCCAAGATCAAGCCCGCCCAGCGCAAGATGGTGGGCCGGGGAGAGGAGGAGGAGGAGAAGAAGAAGAACAGCAAGTACGCCGAGCCCCTGGCGCTGGGCAACATGAGCGACACGGTGTCGGCGGCCATCCTGGCCTTCCACTGCTTCGGCTACCCGCGCTCCTTCCAGGTGGGCACCCTCTGGGTGAGCATCAACTGCGTGGCCCAGCTCCTGGCCAGCTACTACGCCTACCTGCGCCTCGACGTCTTCCACGGCACCAAGTTCGCCTTCCACAGCGCCTACTGGCTGGTGCAGAGCTGGGAGGAGTTCGTGGTGACGGTGCCCCTGGCCGGGCAGGATGTGGGCGACTCCAGGGCGGCCATGCTGGGCGGCTGGTTCTTCCTGGCCGCCGCCCTCCTGCTGTGCCTGCTCTCCCTGAGCCGCGACAGGGTGGAGCTGCTCCACAACGCCACCTTCGCCGGCCTCACGGTCTCCACGCTGCCCCAGATCCGCGGGCAGGGCCGCTACGCGTTTTTCGGCGTGGTGTGCGTGCTGTACGCCGTCCTCAGCCTGGGCATCTCCTTCGTCAGCCTGGTCAACTCCATCGCCGAGAAGGCCCTGATCCCGCTGGGGGCCCGTCTCGTCAGCCCCCTCAAGCTGCAGGAGGCGCTGTTCGGCTTCAAGCGCTGCCTCACCCCTTACGCCCGGCCCCTGCCCCCGCCCTCGCCCGTGGAGGAGCTGCGCGCCCAGCTGTCCGACGCCCTCTTCTTCTTCTGCAACGGCCTGGCTGCCCTGTCCGCCTTGCAGTTCTCCGGCCCGGACCTCGCACGCTCCCACCTCTCCGTGCCCTGGGTGCTGATCCCGGGTGTGATACTTCAGCTCTATGTGGCCCGGCTGCAGGTTCGAGGGGGACGCCGCTTCGGCCCCACGGTGCCGTTCTGCTACGCGGCCATCTGGGCCTCCTGGGCCTGGCTGCGGTTTGCAGGTACAGCGTCTCCACCTGGAAGAACACTCCTGCTGTTCTAGGCAGGGCTGCCGGTCTGCAGGTCCCACCTATAACACACATCCCAGAGCAATTCACACGTTCTGATGAGGGCAAAACAATGATGTGCAGGGTTATAAAGCAATACAGATATGGAACGGAAATGTTAGTGTTGTATGAACGCTGCACAGTGTGCAATATGTGCCGTGAGGGAAGAGTGAAGGAGATCAGTGGGTGGGATTGATGGTGTTTCGTGCACAATTAATGCGTGCAGGTGCCCTCGTTAACCTCAGTCTTCCTCCCTCCCCCTCTTCCTCACAGGCCCTCTCCTGAGAATCACCGAGCCCTCTCTCCATGCCTTCACTGCTGGTGCTGTGGCCTTCCTCATCATCAATGCCTTTATCATCATCACTGGTAGGTCCCTGGAAGCTGCCACCCTCCTTCCATTCTACAGCATGCGCGCGGGATACCTGTGCCGCCACATGCCTCCCTTTGGACCTCCAGTTGAAATGAGCGAGGGCGAGGTGTTTCAGTAATTGTGGTCCCCCTGGCACACATGAGTAAAAGGATTTCTGTTCCCCCTCACAGCTGCGTACTCCAATATTGTGCTGCTGGCCCTCACTGCGTCAATGGAGGTGCTCATTGTCTGCTTCCTGCTGTTCACCTTGAACAAACTGCCACTTCCTCTCGAAGGTAAGGGCCGATAATCGAGTGATTTGATCCTCCTGTTCCTTTTTTTCTCCACCACACCGTGTCCCACGAGCACACTTTCACAAGGCACAGGGCTCCACAAAGCCCCTGCCAGAAATCAGGCTTCTGTGGAAGGTGTCTTGCAACATAACAAAGCAAAACGCTTTCCGTTCAAGAGGAGTTTCGTCATTTCAGTTAAAAAAATGGAGTTGAGAAAAGGGCCCATTTTAGAGCTAGGTCTTGTTGCATAACATGAGCGAAGCCGTGCTTTTTAGGACTACTGGGTAACCTCAGTGTGAAGCCATTACTGTCTGATGAAATTCTACAGACAGCTGGAAACACAACACTTTCAACTCAGGGGCTGTGAATGATTGTTTTAATGCATAGTAAGCAAGCTATTATCACTGAATGATACATTACAGAGACAATCTGAGAACCATCTTCCTTTTATACGCAGTTGATGTTCTTATAAAATCGTGCTGATTCTAAATACCTTATAGAAATAGTTTGGAAAAAGTGTGGTCTGGCGAACCTTTGTTTTCTGTTAGTCTTCTAACTTTCCTGTAAAAACAAAACGAGAGGAGGCCATTTGCCCCATCTGTGCTGTTTGGTGTTTAGCAGATAAGGGATGCAGGGGTCTGCTCCAGTTCTTGAAAGAGGCCACCGTGTTTGGTTGCTCTTTCTCCAGGCTGATTACAGAGCAGCGCTATTCTGAAAGGGGGAGAAAGGCATGAACTGCTGACAATAATAATAATAATAATAATAATAATAATAATAATAATAATAATAATAATAATTGCTTACACTTATATAGCGCTTTTCTGGACACTCCACTCAAAGCGCTTTACAGGTAATGGGGACTCCCCTCCACCACCACCAGTGTGCAGCCCCACCTGGGTGATGTGATGGCAGCCAGAGTGCGCCAGAACACTCATCACACACCAGCTCTCAGTGGGGAGAAGAGCAGAGTAATGTAGCCAATTCATAGACAACTGACGTCTGACGACCCTCTTATCGCACTCTCAGGTGTGTTCTTGGCCATCTTCACTGTGCTCTGCGTCTATGGGGCCACTGCGTCCTTCGCCAACTACCTGTTTGAGAAACCACTGATTCCCATGGGACCACAGCTGATGAAGGTACGGTCCTGTAACACACTGCAGGTTGGGTTACTGCCCAATACAACAACAAAAAAAAGATCAGTTGAGATGGGGATTGGCAGCTTTTATTTTTTGGCACTCGGAATTGAAAGCATAATCATTATCCTGCCTTCTCTTCCTTAACTTCAGCATGTGATGGATTCTAATGGAGGGAGGGATCGAGTGACAAAGATTGCCTGTGGTTTGCTTGCGCCGGCCGAGAGAGAGAGAAAGAGAGAGATAAATTGCTAGTGGAAATAGTGGAACAGCATGCCCCTAGGCTCTCTCCACAGTGGGTGATGTCCTGTGTACCTCTGCTTCCCCTAGTCTGGGAAGAGCAAGAAAACCAGCGCAGAAGCCCTGCCTTGCCCCTGCCCCAGCTCCCAGAAGACCAGTGGGCTCATGACGATCGCACGGATCCTGGAGTCCGGAGGGGTGTGTGGGATCCCCTCTGACACCGTCTACACTCTGTCCGCCTCCTGCAAGCACCCCTCCGCCATCGAGCGCATCTACAACATCAAGGTGAGCGCCGCCCTCCTGGCTACTCTTAGAACCGCAGCATAAGGCAAGTCCGCAGCTGGGAAGTCTGAAAGAGAGGATTATGTTACTTGAAGTAAGTGATTGATCTTTTCTCGCTCGCTCTAAACTGCATTTGGCACATCCCTGTACCGGAAAACTGAATTTTATGACACGTTAGTTGAAGGAATCATAGCATGTAACTAAGAGACTACACTTTCTGTTGCTGTATGTCCAAGTGTGCTCAGTTTACATACGGCAAAACATTCTGCTTTTTAATGCTAGGCAATAGAAGTGCTGAGGTTGGGAATCACTTCTTAAACTTGTGTTTAAGCACTGTTAAGAGAGCATCTCTGCCCATTGAAATCATAATTAAAGTGCACTTCAAATATAAACAGGCCAGAAGCAAGGAAGGTATGACAGCCCTCCAATACTGATAGCTGAAAACCATTGAATATTTTCAGCTTCACAAATCCTGGTTTGAAGAAGAGAGTAAGAACACGTGTGCAGGGTTCCCGCACCTGTGCTCTGGGGCCGAGCCCTAACCAGCTGCTCTTCCGGCAGGAACGCCCCTTGGAAAAGCCGATCTGCCTGACGATCGCCAGCCTGGCGCAGCTGGAGGAGGTGAACCCGCCCTTCAGCCCCCTGCTGTGGGAGTTCATGAGGAACATCTACCCTGGGGGCATCGGCTGCATCGTCAGGAAGGGCGACTGGCTGAGGAAACTGGGTGAGCGCCTGTCGGCGGGATGGCAGGGCAAGCAGAGCACAGCAGGGCACAGTAGGCAGAGCGCGGACGGCAGGAACGGTAGGGCATAGCAAAGCA